CAATGTAGGGTCAGCTTCATTCAGATGATAACACCGGCAAAGTGACGCATTCTCGGGACCTAGCTGTAGTACTAAAACAGGACGATCAACTTCTATTTACTCCCAGCCGATCAGCCAGCTTCGACCTTGTCCGGCAATATAATAGCCGAAATAATTGGAATACCAAAGACTTCAAAAGAATCAATGAAGAGACTCAAGTCCTGAGCTTTACTTACTGGGACAACTTGAAGAATCATCTATTTTCCGTAAATCTCCGTATTACAGCGATGACGTGACCGGTTCTGATGTTACAATTCATCCTCATCGTCATCATCATCATCATCATCATCATCATCATCGCTTGATTCAAAATCAGAGCAATATGGTGGATATAGTGTTTCGGGTTCATTCTCTAACGCCGTTAATGGAGCAAAAACAGGCGGATCTGATAAGTGCACACGCTTCATCAACGAACTTTCCACAAGTGGCGAAGTCTGAAACAGTAAGTGAACGCCACATTCTGGACTCAAAGGCAGTGGGCACGATGGTTGGGGGAGGATGGCTGCTGCCAACGCCATTGGTGGAAGGGCATTTGGCCACACGCCAGAGCGCCCCTCAACGATGACGCTGGCAGCAACCGTCCACCCTCAGCCATCCCTTCAAACGGACTAGTTCAAAATGTCTTTTCATGGAAAATCACAATATTGCTGGAACTGAAGTCTCACCTTTCGCTTGCGTTTAGCTGATGTTGGACGGAAGAACCCATATGGATCCTCTAATAAATCCATCGGATCGACCATTGTTGACGGGGAATTGTTTCTGCTCACAAAGTAATGTGTGATATTGTCATCGTGAGCGGAAATATGATAATTCTCGCGCTGATTCCGTCCCTGAAAAGAGAGCAGCTAGAAATAAGAAGATAAATGGAAGAAAACTTCAAGGCACCGGGCGCGACTGCTGGAGGCGGGTGATTTTTGCCAGTGTCCATTGGTGGAACGGTTGCAGGAAGGCGTTTCACACCTCACTCAGTCCTTCCATCAATGACGCCGGCGACGACTGCCCGTCCCCAGCAATCGAGTCCTTTGCCCCGCCCCCCTTTGAGTACTTTGCCA